ATAAAAACTTAGAATTCTAAACACTAAATGCTAAACTAGATTCCCTAAACCATTTAGGGTTTATGTGATGTGAGCTATAAAGACCATCCACTAAGGGAAAAGAGAGTACTCTCTGTTCCTTATGAGTATCAATTTTCGTGGCCCACCTTTTCCATGCCTCGTGTCCTTCTCCATCAACATTCTTGATGCTTCTTATGGTACATGGACCAGGAGCACCCCAGAGACTCAGGGTATATCAGCCCAACATACTGCTAGACCTTGGCTGGGACCAGAGTCATCCCATTCATCTTCCCATAATGCAACTATCACTTAAAATTTTGCTGTAATCAAATGGAGTATTTGTCAAGGACCTATGTGTTTGGTTTGGTTTTTCTGAGGGGGGTGTGTGTTTGCTCTGTTTTTTTTTTTTTCAAGCTATTTGTTACCCTTATAATCTGCTTCCTCCCCTGGGTATTTATGAGACGAGACAATAGCAGACAAATCTCCCCTAAATGTGAGCAATAATAGCACACCTGGACTGCCCACGGCTGTTCTGAGACCTTCTTTTTAGTATTATTGTAATTAATATTATCAATAATTATAACAGGTGTTACTTATTGAATTCCCAAGATGTACCAGTATTTTACTTTATCAACATTTTTGCTAATCCTCATACCAACACTGATAGATTTCATTGTCCCCATTTTAGAGATAAGGCAACTGATGCTCAGAGAGGTTAAGTGACTTACCTGAGATCACACAGCTAGTGAGTGGCAAAGTCAGAACTGCACGTACATCCAACTGGCTCCAAAGCCCCTTCTCCTATCACCAGGCAATGGGCCTCTCCTTTGTTCACACACATGCCTGTGACTGGCCAACCCCTGAATCTGAGATTCTGGGGTCCCCTCAGTGCTGCCAGCTCCTTAGTACCTAAGACTCTCAGGACCACAGAGGCCATGGCCAGTGAATCCAGGAGGGATTAAATATGCAGATGACTTAAGATAGAGCAAAAGGCAGCCCAGGGAGCTGGGCCTGGGAGGGCCTGGGTGGGGGAGGGAACATCATCTAGGAGTCATGACATCTGGGTTCTGGCCCTGACTTGGCTCCTGACCCCCCCGGGGCCCTTGAGCAAGTCCCCACCATGCCCACAGCCTGACGGCCAACAATCAATGCTGGCCGGATGCCCCATGAGCCAAACTTCCTCCCTGGAAAACCAGGGGCTTTGACTGCAGGACGTTCTCTAAGGCTTGCTGGTTCCAAGAACTCTGGGTTTCTTCCAGGAGCCAGGGGGGTAGGTGTGAATAGGGTTTTGTTTCTGCTGCTGAGAGCCCAGGGCCCATGGGGGAGACATGGGAGGGCACACCCAGAGCAGGTGCAGTTTGCCTCAGAAGAGACTTGCCCTTGAAGGGCCTTGTTGTGACTTTCCTCTCCCCCGCCCCCCCTACACACAGCACCTCTCCTGCATTTCTCCTAGAGGAGAACAGCACACAATGGGATGGGATGGGACAGAATAGGAGAGAGGAGGAGGACATCACACATGGGAAGGGTAAATATTGTTTGTAAACTTTTGTTTTAATGGTATAAATGTATTTATGTGTGTACTCTGTGTCGTTGGGGTGTAAAATTTAAACTGTGAAGAATATGAAAAGCCCTGTTCTAGACTAAACTGGGGGTTCCATGGTGCCGCAGGTGTCCTCACCCTCACCTGTGGCTCCTAGAGTTGAGGAGGCCACAGTGCCAGCTGCTACCGTCCAATGTGGGTCCTTTGTCTCTGAAAGGCCACCCACAGGGAGGTAGAACGGGGTCTTGATGGTGCTTGGAGGCTCAAGCAAATCCTTGCCTGGAGGCAGAGAATGGCCTAGATGACCCCTAAGAAAATTCAGTCAACCTGTCACCAAGTATCTGAGAGCCCTCTGTGCCCAGCCCCGTGTCCCCTCCCTACACTTCCCTGCAGGGCCCCGCAGGAGAGAGAGGAAAGCAGCTGCCAGTCTCAGGTCATGATTTTGCTCTGAGGTGCCATTTACCCTTCGGAGTGGCTGGAACTTCTTGTCCCATCTCTCAGTTCCTGTGTTGCCTCCCAGCCCTGCCCACCCAGGCTGTGGGTATCCTATGGCTGAAAAAGGCCTCAGAGCCAGGCCTTTACCCCCAGGCTCCCAGTGGGCGGCCCTGTGGTCCCTGGCAGCCCTGGCATTGTCTGACTGACACTGTGGCTCTGGATCCTAGAGACAGCCCTTCTGGTTCATGCAGGGAGTGGTCAAGGGCATGGGTCTCTCCATCCCTCCATCCCTCTCTTACAGGACTTTCGGTAAGAGCATCATTCCCCCATCCTCACTGTTTGCTCATAAAGAGCACCAGGGTTGGATGACTGCCCCAAAGAGGAGCCTTGTGGGGTTTCCTGCGGATGTTCCCAGGTCACATCTGGAGGATGGAGGTGGCTCACAGCCCTGAGCCAGTTTCCCCTCTGCCTGCCACCCCTCACCCCTCCCACCTCCTGGCACTAGGAATTAAACCAGAGTTTGCTTCAATCAGGGGACTGCATCCAGCTGCCCTCAGAACCCTCTGGCATTAGGCAGGATTTTGGAGGCCTCCAGGAAGGTGCTGCCCAGCTGTTCCCTGTGTTGCTCTCATGGCCTCCACTAACCTGTTCTGGGGAGAGCCCAGGCCCAGAACACAGCTTGTGGGGGCCTCTAGGCAGCAGGTCAGGAGCTACCACTTGCTAGCTGCCTGCTCAGCAAGATAACTGTGCCCCCCACTGCCAACCACATGCTCCTGACCTGTTCTGGGGAGAGCCCAGGCCCAGAACACAGCTTGTGGGGGCCTCTAGGCAGCAGGTCAGGAGCTGCCACTTGCTAGCTGCCTGCTCAGCAAGATAACTGTGCCCCCCACTGCCAACCACATGCTCCTTCTGCTCTGTACCTGTCCTCCCCATTCCTCTGCCCAGAATTCCCCTTGCCCACCCATCATGGTCTGCCCAAACTCTCTCCCTGGATAGAAACCCCTGGCACTCAGATTCCAGCGGGATCAATTATAGCTGGCCCTCAGTCTGGGGCTGCCATGTGTTGGAATCTTTATGCAGATGCTTGGCTCCCTAATCTGACTTGTGAGCAGTATGGGGTAGAGACCGTCTCTTGTTTAGAGTGGGGGTAAAGAGCAGGATTGTTGTAGAACCCAGCTGCAGTGCTGGCAGGCCAAGAGAACTTGGCCAAGTGACTGTTGCTGTCTTATCTCAGTTTCCCCATTTGTAATTGGGGCTGAGACCCTTACAGGGTTGTTGTGAGACTTACATTTTGACAAACGCCCAACATGTGTCAACCTAAAAGAAGAAACTGAGACAAAATTTATAAAGCAAGGAGTTTATTTGGGCCAAGGTTAAGGACTACAGCCCGGGAAACACAGATGCACCTTGCCCTGAATATGTGCTCCATCCAGCAGCAACTACAGACAAACTTTAAAGGAAAAAGGAGTTAAGGGGGCAGTTCCAAAGATGTTAGCCAAGAATTGACATTGGTTCACTAGAGTAACATAGGCTACTGATTGGCTATACATTGCTCTTTGCATCATAAATTCCAGGAACTTTACAACAAAGGAAGAATGTATCACTTTGTACAATTTGTGATAATGCTTGGGTAATTTATACTCGGTGGTGGCAGCTTGTGTGAATAATGCTGCTAAAACATGTCTTTTCAGCCGTTATCCCAGACATGGGTGAGTGGGACATGACTTAAGCCCCATGGTCATATCTCTCTGGGCTGGATAAGTTTAGAGCAGATCTCACATTTCTTAGATTGCTCTGAGCTACTTTCCATTCTCACATACCACCAGGCACAAGATGTTGTTCCAAATTTGGTGGTGGATGCTATTCCCCACCGTGTCTAACACAGCCCCGGGATATAATAGGTGCATAGTAGATGTAACTAATTGGATAATTAATCACTTCGTTGGAGAGAAAGCCAGGATACTCTTGCTTGTTTCTCTATTTACCCATATGGGAGAGTGGTGACACTTCACAGAGGCTGCCAAGGAGATGAAAAATGGACATTCTTTAGGGGAGAGAAAAGGAAGGGAGGTGAGAAGGATGGAAAGAAGAGGAAGGAAGGAAGGTAAGAAGACTGGCAAACACGAGAAAATGATCATTTTCTTAGAGAAACAGGGAGGTAGGGCTATTAACACCATGTGGACATTCCCCCCATCCCCAATGGCCCAGGTGAAGAAGTCAAGGCCCTGGGGGGCAGGAGTTAGAGAAGGGGAGGATGGGTTCCGGAGACAGGCACTGCCTGCTCTCTCCTGCCATTGGCAGAGGGATTGTCCTCCCACTCCACAGTGGGCTCAGATCCTTCCTTTTCTCACCCAAGTCTGCTCTAGCAGGGAGTTTATCTCCATGGCAACCTTTGGAGATTGTGAAAGTGCAGAAGAAATGCAAAAGGAGAGCAGCGCTCTGAGTGTAATTTACCTCTTGCTTCTTTCATATTCTCCCTCATTCCTTTTCATCAGCTGCTCCTGCCTCCTCTTCCTCTCTTCCATTCCCTCCCTCCTTTTCATGATCCTCACCATACAGACCTGGCCTAATCCAGGAAGCTGAATTCACTGGATCTCAGTGATCAAGGTGGCGCTAGACCTTCCCAGCCCAGCATGTCCCCACATCACTGATTCCTTAGCAGTGCGCTGGTTTCAAGTCATAATTAGCGGCTCCTGTTGGGAATCCCCAACGGCCCATGTGAGGGAGCTGGGCTGGGCCCCAGGCTGCCAGCAGGAATCCCTGTGGACCTTGCCGGGGCCTGGGCACTCCCCCACACTGCTGACTGAGGGTGCACGCCCGTCCCATTCCTTCCAGCTCTCGGGACTTTTCGGGTCGGACGACAATTGTGAAACCTGTTCATCCAAATCTGTTTTCCTGGAGACGGGAGAAGGCACCCAGGGAGCAAACGAAGAACGCGATGGGGAGGAAGCGTGAGTGTGAGAGAGGAAAGGAAAGTGAGCTAATCTGTTAGTCATTGCTTCTCTGACTTTCTTCTGAATTTCAGGGCAACAAGCAGCACCGAGGCGCGCGCCAGGGCGCCAGGCTCGCTCCCTCCCAGGCAGAGGCAGTGCAGGTGATGGCAGGATGCCCGCGGACCTCCCCGGCAGCGAGCTGAGCCTCCTGCAGGCAGCCCCCGCTCCTCGACTCGGCCGAGCCGCCCCTGGGCCTCCGGTGAGCGGCTGCAGTGCGCACCGAGGGCCGTGCCCACCTTGAGCAGAAAGCAGCCGAGGGCTCTCAGGCTGCGGAACTGCCGGCCCGGGAGGGGGCGCCCACGGCCGCCTTCCGGGAGCCCGAGGAGCGCTCTGCGCGTGCGCCCTGCTCCCCTGCCCGCGGGCACTCGGAGCTCACCTCACCGCCTGCAGAGGCGAGCGGAGCCCGCAGCCCACGCCCGGAGGGCACCGCCCGGGGCCTCAACCTCGGCACTTCTGACGTCATTTTTTGTTGTGGGGGCTGTTCTCGCATCTGAGGATGTTCAGAGCATGCCTGGCTTCTACCCACTAAATGCCAGTAGCACGCCACCCCCACCCCCGCCCCCAGCCCCAAATTGTGACAACCCCAAATGCCGTCAGCCGTTGCCAAATTTATCTGGGGTAGGGTGGGGATCAGTCGAGAACCACTTTGGAGGAACCGAAGCTTCTCAAACCCGCAGACCGGGGAGCCGCGTGAATCTCCGCGAGAACGTTGATGGAGAGTTTGTGTTCGGTCCAAGACTGTTTAGTCTCAGAGACAGTTGGTTCCAAGTGAATTTCCGAGATATTTACATATAGAGTTATTAGTTTTTTAAAATTAGTTTTAGTTATTTTCAGTTATTCATCTCTTTATTTTTAGTTTTATTACTTAATTTTTAATTTATTTTTAGCTTTTTAAGTATTCTTTTATAGCTTTAGTTACCTGTTTATAATTATTTTGCTTTCAAGGTTGCTTGAGTTTTTAAGTTATTCATTTTCAGTTATTTATTTATATTTATTTTGTTTTGAGTTATAGATTTTCAAATTAATTAGTTTAGAATTTATTTTTAATTATTTGTCTTTACAATTATTAATATCTGAGTTATTTATTTTCATAGTTATTCTATTTTTAGTTATTGAGATTTTGAGTTATTTATTTTTGGAAGTTTTTGAATTACTACAGAGTTGTTTATTTTCAGAGTGAAATATTTTCAGTTATTTTAGCATCTTTTTCCTAGTTATTTCATTTTAGAGTCACTTATGTTCATAGATATTTCTTTTCAGTTATTTCAGATTCGGACTTGTTCATTTTTACATTTATTTTTTATTTACTTTTTGAGCTACTTGGTTTTTAATTATTTAATTTTCAGAGTTATTTCTTTCTTTTTTAACGTTATATTTTCTGAATTATTTTCAGAGATTTTGAGATATTCAGTTTTTGAGTTGTTTTCAGTTACTTATCCTCAGTTATTTCTTTTCAGTTATGTCTTTACCATTTTAAAACTTTTTTCTCTTTATTTTTATTTACTTCATTTTCAAATTTATTTTCAGAATTATTTAGAATTAGAATTGTTTAGTCCATCAGTCAGGGTCCACTCAAGAGAAAGACACTATATCAGTTATTTTAACAGAGAGAACTTAATATAAAGAATTGTTATCCAGCCATTGGAGATTTGAAAAGGCAAAAAAGAAGTGATAATGAGATTTTAACTGCAGGAAGCTGCTACTGGCCCAAGGACTGATGGAACAAAGGGAAGAGATTGGAAGAATCAAAATACAGAAGCTTGGAGGTAACCCCAAGGCTGAGGTTAGTCTGCCAAGGAGAAGGCACTACTGACGATGGCACAGGTGGCTTGGGCTCACAGGCTGGGTTGGGAGGACAAGGCACAGCCAGTTGAAGCTGGTGTCTCTGAGGTGATCCGATGAGCCTGGGTTATGGGGGGGTTGGGAAAATGGCAAACTGGAACAAACTGCTGCTTCTGGAATCAACTGTTGCTGTCAGGGTGAAGACCAGTTGCTAGGGGAATGCTGACTGGAATCCAGGCACACAGAAAGGAGCAGGTCCCTCTCGCTTCTTCCAGCTGCCAGCCAGTCTGGCAAAGGAGGCCTGTGGCCCAGCACCAAAGAGCAGAGACTAGGAGGGTGGGCTGGAAGCTGAGAAATCACAGCTAATAACCAGCCCACTTAGCTTTGGAGTTGCTTAGTTTTAGAGTTCATTTTGGATTTAGTTCGTTTTGGATTTGTTAGGGATATTTGATATTAAGTTTTCACTGGCCATGAGATCTGGCTGAGTCTTTGGTCCCCTGATTTGTTTCTGGAATGGAGTGGGCCAAAAAACACCTGAGAGGAGCCTCTACCATGAGACTCAAGAAAATCACTTTAGAATTCAAGACAGCAAAAATAATAGTCTCTTTTGCTCATAAGGAAGCCCTTTGACTGGGTGGCCAGAGAACGGCAGAGACAAAGGGACAGACCACCAGGAGGGGCTCCATTTGCCCAGCAGAATGTTCCACTTTGAAATTTTTCAGAACCTTAAGCTGTGTTGTGGGGCCACCCTATCCCACCTCCTTTCCTAGCAACAAAGCATCGTTATTGATAGAGTGTGTTTCAAATGTGTAGACTATTTGTACAATAAAGTTCATTCCAAATCTATAATCTGTAATGTTAGGTTCTTCTACCTGGATTATTTTTCACACCACATTGTTCCATTTTGACCATAAAACATTTATTTATTTACTATGAATGCACTCATTTCATTCACCTATTTCCTGAGCACCTTTGTCCTAGGGAAGGTGTTGGCACCAGGTGAGACCAGGAGGTATAAAGCTGACTGAGAAGCTCTCAGTCCAGTGGGGGAGACAGCCATAACAGATGATCACAACATGGTATGACAAATACTCTGGGGGCACAGACTCTTCCTGATGTAGTCAGGGAAGGGGTGATGTCTGAGCTGTGTCTAGTGGAGCAAGTGTTTTCTCCAGCTGGAGAAGGAGAAGGGCACCCGAGGCTGGGGGAACAGCATGTGCTCAGGTACAGGATCATGCAGGAACCAGGCTTCACAGGGTCATGCAGGAACCAAGCTTGGCAGGGAGGATGAGTTGACAGGGGCCGTTGGGTTTCAGGGTTGAGAAAGGTTCTAACATTAAGGCCTGGCCCTGGCGCTTGACAGACACTGCCTCATCTGGTCCTTGTAGCAAGTCTGCAAGATAGTAGGAAGCAACCCCAGGAATCCACTGCTTTTCCTGATCTTACTGTTCCAAACACGGTTTGTAAGGCCCTGTGACTTGACATTCTGGAATTCTTCAGCTCTTTCCTGGCTTTGTCCTTCTGCCTTTGTCCTTCTGCCCCCTCACTTTCACTAGTCCTTTGGAAGTGAGTCCCTCCCTCTTCCACCTTTGATTACTGCTTCTTAACCACCTGTAGGGACTGTAGGGCTGGAGACGGGTTGAGACCAGCCAGCTGTGAAGTGCAGGTGACATCAGCTACGGAGGGAGGTGAGAAGAGCAGAGCACAGGAGACCTGCTGTGGGAATCTGTGGGGGAATTCTGCAAACCATGTGGTGCGAGGTGGGCTCTGGCCGTAAGCAGTCATGACTTCTTCCAACTGTGTTCAGCAACTGTTGAAAGATTGTGGGGATGTCGAGGGGGAACTTGCTGTAGATGCAGCCCAGGCTCGTGAATTCAACAGATTGGGATTTTTAAAAAGCATGCAGAACCTTTTGCTATGTTAGCAACGATGGACGTGTTCACCAAGTCAAAAGAAAATACAGACCTACACCAACTGTGATGAAATATTTTGACACTTTTTCTTTTTTGGCAGCTGGCCAGTACAGGGATCCAAAGAAACCTGGACATTTGGTGTTATCAACACCACATATTTTCACACTTTTTATAATACATATCCATACATTTAGTCTCCAATGTGTGTGTGTGTTTCTCAGCAGACTTTTCGCTTATCTTGCCAGTCACAATACACCATTTCTCTATGAGAATATGTAAGAACTTCAGATGGTTTTACATCTTAGCAGAACAGAAGGGTCTTCAGGATTCTGACCAATTGCCTCAGGAAGCACACCACTTGGATTCTCTCAAACACATTTGACCATCGAATAGCCAGCCGCTTGCTATAGAGACACAGCCCACAGCATTCTCAAACCTTAGGCCCTCAGCCCTTTTCTGAATCTATGAAAATGTCCATACTTGATGGTGCTTGCAAAGTGTCCAAACCTCCCAGGCCTCGTAGAAAGAATCTCTCTGCAAGTCTTATGTCAGAAGTGGGCGACCAGAGGAGCCATTTTAATACCAGTCATTGCTGGACGTTCCCAGGGTACTATACCAGGTGCTTCAGGATGGTCCACTCTGACCTTCCACTCAGGCCTCCTCATCAAAGCCCCACATGGCTGCTCTGCTTGCTGAGGTCCCCTGCGAGAAAGCTGCCCTGCTGGGCTCAGGGTATCAGACTCCCACTGAGCTCATGGTGGACTAGGGGGTGGGACAGGAATAGTGCAATCATTCTCATAAAGCCATGCCTGGTACACAGCAGGTCCCCAGCAGACACTACATTCCCTACTCCAGGCTTGGACTCACTGCTCACTCAGGAAATGGTTGTAAATGTTTAGACTTCTTGAAAACAGGAAAAAAATAAATAAAGTGACTTCTCTGAGTGAAATTGTATCATCTTCCCATTTAAGTAAATGGAAAAGAATCTGAAATCACCAGATAAAATTCTTCAGTCCTCTTTTCTGAATGTTGCCTATTGCCCACTAGAGGGGCTCAGATTTCAACGTGTTGCTGAGGGCTGGGAATGCTGTAGCCCAGATGAATGTGCCCTGGCTGAAGCAGTAACACTAATGTCCCTGGATCTGTAAAATCTGGTGGGAATCTGAGTCCATACTAAACACCAGCCATGCATTATGAAATATTAAAACAGTTAGAGATCCTCTAAACCAGCATTCCCAGGGTATATTTTGCAGAACATGCAGAAGAGTATAAGAGTTCAATGAACTAATCCCACAACATGCTAGTCAGAGAAAAAGTAATTTATCTAATAATACATTTTTAAAATACTGCATATTCTATCCCTTTCTTGGTTGATCTCAATTAATAGATTAAAGGATCTGAGAACTCTTATTGGAAGGAAATCTGTTTACTTTTGTTAAACTCATCATTTTCCAAACTTATTTCACCACAGAACCCTTTTCTTTGTGGTATGACAAAGAGATCCAATAATATAGTGACTGAAAGATTTCTTTCAGTCCAGGTTGGGTGTGCGGACTGCTCTGCTTTACACAGTCACTTTGGGTCCCAGGTTTCTTGCATCCGGTTTTTCCACCATCCCCTAGACCACTGTCCTTGTTTACAGAGTCAAAAGTGGGTCTCAAGGGCCGGCCCAGTGGTGCACTGCTACAGTGGCGGCGCTCCCACCGAGGGTTCGGATCCCACATACAGACCGGTTCCCGCTCACTGGCTGAGCGAGGTGCGGATGCAACACCGAGGGTTGCGATCCCGTTGCCGGTCACAAAAAAAGACAAAAAGGAAGAAAAAAAAAAAAAAAGTGGGTCTCAAGAATGTCTGATTTCAAGCTCACAGGAAGGGGAAAGAACATGAAAGTTTGCATAAGCAATGTTTTAAGGCCCAGCCTGTAAATGGCACACACACCTTCCCTTATACTTCTTTGTGAAAGCTTTGTTGCATGGCTATGCCAAGCTTCATGGGGGTTGGAAACCCTAGTTACTGTCCAACTATAATTTTATTAGTATGTATCAGTGTCACCCAGCCAGCCTGCAGGAGAGCAGGGACTAGAATCCAGGTCTTGCAACTCCTAAACCACGATTCTTATTACCACCCTCGTATTTGCTTATGCAGCCAACATG